GGTGCACATATATCACTGTGGTATGATTCTTTTAATTCTTTGGGGAAGATACCCAGCAGGGGAATAGCTGGGTCAAATGGGACTTCCAGCCCTAGTTCTTGGAGGTATCTCCATACTGATTTCCACAGTGGTTGCACCAATCTGCACTCCCACCAACAATGGAGATTCCCCCTTCTTTTTTGACACCAGCTACCTCCCATGGAATTAGCAGGATCATCCACCTACATGCCATTCTGTGCTTTCTCCTTGCTTATACATATAGTAATACACACACATGCACACACACACAAACACACACACACTTATAGGCTGTTTTCTTACATTGTTTACATTGAGAAAAATGGCGTTGTATTTTATGTATTATTCTGCTTATCAGTTTTTCAAAAAATACCTCATGAAACTATTTTCAAATTAACTGTTCTAGGTCTAAATCATTCTTTGTGATGGCTACATATATATCATGTATGGAAGCATCATGGCTTTTTCAACCACGCCAGTACCACAAACAAAGCTGCAATAAATAACCTTGTACATATATCCTTATGTTCCCATGCTTTTATTTCTATAGGATAGATTCTTATGTTGAAAGGTATATTTCTCATATTAACAAATGTTTTTATTGCATTTCCAAGAAAAGGATTTAAATTTTACATTCCACTAATTGTGTATGGCTGGGGACTTTCTCCTCTGTATCACCATTAGTGATGTGTCATCATTTGATCAGCTGATAGGAGCAAAGCAGCAATCCAATTTTCCCCATCCTGCCTGCTTAATTGCCTTTTTTTTTTTATTGGTACTGGGGATCGAACTTGGGACCTTGCACTTTCGAGGCAGGCGGTGGAACCTCTGAGCTAAATCCCCGGCCTTTAATTGCCATTTTTAAATTACACATTCCTTATTGTATGACAAGGGGAAAGTTCTGCAGTGTGCTTTTTTGATCATTAATTTCATTTCTTTGGACCCCTCCATAATTCACTTCTTAAAGGGAATAATTTTCTCTTTTAAAGTACAACAGGAATGGGCCCTTTTCACATTCCTATCTAATAGTGCATCCAATGTTATTCTCATTCACCCAGCCTTTCTCCCAGTTCCCCTAGAGCCTCAATTCTCGGGAACTTTCTGTCTTTTCCTTCCCTACCCATTCTCCTTTTCATTTTAACCCTCCAATAGTTAATGTTTTAAAAATAGTATAAAATAAACTTAGAAAATAAAATGCCTTCTGTTGCAACAACATAGTGTTGGAGTCTATTGCTAACATGTGACTTCGGCAGATGGGAAGCCCTGTGGCCTTGTTGGTTATCAGTTTTCTAAACTGAGTGGGAAGGGACCCTGGCTTTTGAGACCTCTGGCCTCTTCCTCACCTTTCCTCCCCATCCACTAGCACCACGAAGCAGCCTGTAGGAGCGGACAGAAACATTGTGCTCACTGACAACCTCAGAATAGTGGGGAGCCCTGGCTTTTTGCCCAGAGTCTAGGAGTCCAGGGAGTGTCCTAATCTCCTTGAGACTGAGAAGATGTCACTCTTTAAAGGAGCTTTGGAGTCTCATGGGCCCGGCAGCAATTCTGTGCTTAGTTCGTGAGCTTTGAAGCAGGAGCTCTGAGTCCACTGAGAACGTAAGAAGACTGGACACCCCCCCACAACTAGTGTACCCTGGGTTTCCTGTCACCTGGCTAGTCCTTCCATTGGTTTCTGTTACAGAAATGGAGTTGTCTGGGCCACCCACTGAAGGAGAAAAATAACACAACTGCAGATGTCATGGATGTAGTGGTCCAAGTAGTGATTCTAATGACACACATAGGACCATTCTGAACTTATGAATCATGTCATATATATGAAATATGGCTTCTAAATCTGAAGGTATTTCTTTTTTTCCCTTCATCAAATTGCAGCATCTAGACCAGCTTATGAATCTGCCACTAGATTCCGTGAAGATGGAACCTTGCTATACTAAGGTCAACCTGCTTCAAGAGGGCCTGCAGGATCTCAAGAGCCGTTTTAGATTCCCGCACGTCAACCTGGTGGTCCAGAGGACACAGAACTACATGCAGGAGGTGGGAGCAGCAGGGCATGCATGGTGCATGAGGGCGAGAGAGGGAGAGCTCCACATCCTGGCAGAGGAGGCAGTGTCCAGGGCGCTTCCGGGAAGTGAGGTGCACTTACTTATCGTGTTGACTGAGGAAACTCCGGGTCCTTCCAGCTGCTTTTGTCTTTCTTCCATGTTAATGAACATGAGAAGAAATGCCTCAGGGAAATAAAGTAGCACCAATTGATAATTATTTAGTTGACAAATCAGTGCTTTTTAACCTTGGCTGCACATTAGAAACATCTGGGGAGGTTTTTTTTTTTGGTATCAGAGTTCGAACTCAGGACCTTGTGCTTGTAAGGCAGGCGCAGACGCCACTGAGCTAAATCCCCAGACAACCTGGGGAGTTTTTAGGACATACTTATGCTTATACCTCATCCCCAGTGATTCCGAATGTATGTGTGTATGTGTGTGTGTGTTTGTATTTTGTTGTCAGTGTATATTGGTTCTGCACAGATGAATGGGCTTCGTATTGGCAGATTTGCATATGTATAAACATACTCAGATATTTTTCACCCTATCACCGCCCTTGTCCTCCACCTCTCCATTGTTCCCTTCTTCTCAAATAGTCCTCCTTTTATTTTCATGCCGCCCACCCCCCTTTTTTAAAGATTCTACCTTTGAGGGGAAAAATATGTGATATTTTCTTTCTGAATCTGGCATATTTTACTTAACACGATGATCTCTGGTTACAGCTTTTGAAACATTTCTCCCACCCCCATTCCTGTTGCTCCTAATATGGAGCCAGGACTGAGAACCACTGGCTTAAATTTCTGTAATCCCCTAACCTAGTTAAGAATCAACCAACCAACCAACCAATCAGTCAATCCCAGCTTCCTATTTGAATTTGCGTCCTCTTGATAGGTTGCTTCTCCCCCTCTCCCAAGGAAGTTTTTCACCAGGAACAATGAATGAACAGACTCTTTCCATGTTAGAATGTTTCGTAAATAAAGCAAGGGTATGATCAGACTCAATCTGATCTGCTCACACATGCTCTAGAGGGAGCTCACTGTGGGCTGACACTGCCTGATCCCACCCCAGGGATCAATAATGAGACAGATTCTTAGAGTAATTCACTACAGTGTTGTAAGTGCTGTGATAAAGCTTTGTGTTGAGTGCTTTGAAATTGGCCACAGGCTTGGAAAGAAAGGAGTGTTTTGTTTTGTTTTTTTTCTTTAAAGTTATAGTAGAATTAAGCGATGTATCTTATTATCCAACCTCTGAGTTATAAGAGACTAACGATAAACAAGGAACAAATTGGGTAGAAATTTAACAGCAGTTCCTGTGGTAATAGTGGGCCCTGGAGAAAGAGATACAGGAACAACTGCAGAGAATAAGATCTCTGAACTGACTGTTTCCTGGCCCATGGGCAGCCACTGCCACCAAGCCCTGAGCTGCCTGCCTTCCCAGCCTTGCAGAGAAAAAAGGGATTCGAGGTGGTGGGGTGGACGCAGCCTGGGGTGGAGACGCTGCCAAGTGGTTTATGTCCACCTAAATGTGGAAGTGCTGCCAGAATGGTTGGAGAAGGCTCCCACCTCACCTCTTTAATCTGTGGCTGCAGCATCGGAGTATGGAGGCGGGGAATGACCACAGGAGATGGTGTGTTCTCCATCCTGGAGTTTTCCCCGTCGTGGATGAGGGGAAGGAGATGAGAAAGAGACTGCCTGCATGCGATCACGCATACGCGTGTGTGGCTGGGCCTGTTGCCTGGCCTCTTAGTGACCCCATGGTGAGCACGTGGTTGTTCATTTCACAGTCCAGGTAGAGGGATGCGGGCCAGTTGCCCTGTGTCATTCCCGGAGCAGAGCCTGGGGACTCTCGATGGCTCATCTGAGGGAGGCCAGGCAGACCTAAAGCTGACGGTGTGGGTTTCTGTGCTTCGATTTCCAGCTAATGGAGAATGCAGTCTTTACTTTTGAGCAGTTGCTCTTCCCACATCTCCAAGGCGAGGCCTCCAGAACTGCTGCTGCCATTAAGAAGGTGAAGCTCCGAGTCCTAAAGGTAAAACTTTTGCCTCATCCTTGGGGAGCTTCAAACAAGAATGTGACCGCAGCTTGTCTGGATGAGTGCAAATGCCCTACTCTGTCATTTACTTGGGCCCCCTCTCTCTAAAATGACTTCCTCTTGCCGCGGTTTCCCCAGCCCGACTTTCATGCTTGTTCTGCCATCTAGTGGCTACTTTAGGGACCACAGTTTCTTAGCATTGTTCCCCGTATTTGGAAGGACAGGGCCCAATTTACTTTTATAGCAATTGGACTTGACAAATGTTTATTGGCTGTGCACTATAAGCATTATGAGAGGTATTGCTTGGCTTTTATAGGCAAGGCACAGCCTCTGTCTTCAAAGAGTCTGCAGTATATTAAAACTAAACTGGCCATTTTAAGAAAAAAATCAAAACATCAAAGCAAAGGAAATAACCCAAAGAAAAGATAACTGCCATATAAAATTGCTTTTAACGCATATCATGTACACGTGCATATTTAAATGTTGCAGTAATAGGAGCTTGCACATATTGGTAAAGTAAAAGTTTTTTAACTCTACCAGGTTTCATTTGATCATCACAAGAACTTGTGAGATGATTGGAACATATCCTGATGAGGAAATTGACCCTTTAAAAGTTTACTCAAGCTCAGCAGGCTAGTCATGGTGATCTTAGAGCTAAAACTATCCTTTAACATGGTCTACTAATATTTTTTACTGCCTCCTGCTTGTCCTAAATAATGGTTTGGAACAGAAGATCAAACTCCCATACAGCCTAGGGCCGACCCTGAATTTCATACCTAATCTTAATGATTCACACCCAGGCAGAACTCGCGTAAGCAAATTATTGAGATGAAAAGCAATGTTGATTACGGTCACACAAATAATAACGCATGAACAATTGAGCTGAAAGAAAAAATTGTACCACTCCCAAGTGTTTCAGCAGACAGAAAGAGTTGAAGAAAGCAAGTAGAAAGGACCTTGAGTTTGAAAAGGACTTCAAGCGCCTCTATTTCAGCTTCATCTCCAGTGTTAAGAAGGTCCCTGCCAGAGGTGGTTTCACCAGTGGTCCACACCTCCCCTCTCAGAACAGCCCATTCCTTCCTCTTGTAAGAACATGCTCTCTCGGGGCGGGGATTTAGCTCAGTGGTGCTGCCACCTGCTTCACAAGCACAAGGTCCTGAGTTTGTTCCCCAGTACCAAAAAAACTAAAAAACATTTAAAAAAATAGAAGAACATGCCCTCTTATTTTAGACCAAAGTTCTTGCCACTGGTAATTCTATTTCCATTCTTTCTTCATAGTCTTTTCCCACCCACATAGTACATTTTGGTAGAATGAACAGAGCTATAATTTTGCCTTGTTAGTATCTCCAGTATAAATAACCTCATGTGACTAGTCAACCATTTTTCATTTGGCCTGATCATTCTGCTCACATGCCTGTCACTATTCTCCATATGCCTGTCTGTGATCCCCTTGAAGTGACATCTAAATTCAAATGCTGGCCTCCAGTTTTGGGTGTTTGATGCACATCGGAGAGAATCATCATTTTTCTTGTTCTAGACATTAAATTTCTTTGGTTAGGTTAGTAGGTCACAATGCTAATGGATTTCAGAGCCAGGCTCTTTCTTACCTTGTAGAAGTCATTGCAACTCACTACCTCTGCTTAGAAGACTATGAGTAATGGATGATTGTGGCTCCCATGGGCCTGCCCAGAAAGAGTGATGAAAAACAAATTCACTCGCAAGTTCTTTCCCCAACTTCTTTATAACCCAAATGCCACTTCTCTATTTTGATCTTACCTCATTGTCCATATCTGTGGGAGGGGAGAGTGAGATGGGTCATTGTGTCACAACCTACACCTGGAGTGAGCAGGATTTAGATAGAAAGACCTCTGAGACTTTGGAAATGCAAGTCTTCAGAAATTAGGAGGAAAAAGGAGATGACCTGAGTGGCTGGGTTTTTTATATAAGTGAATGTTGACAGGTTGTAGTGCCACTACTTAGGCTGTTTCTCTGTTGACAGCAATATGATTATGACAGCAGCACCATCCGGAAGAAGATCTTTCAGGAGGCATTGGTTCAAATCACGCTTCCCACTATGCAGAAGGCACTGGCGTCCACATGCAAACCAGTAAGAGGATGCGTTGCTCCAAAGAGTCTGCTTTATTGTCTTTGGGGTTCAGATGAGTCCTTTTGCGGGGCTGTACTTGCAGATGGCAGGCAGACTAGACCAGGGAGGGGTTGGCGAACTTTTCTGGAAGTGGTCAGATAGTAAATATTTTAGGCTTCATGTTCCATGTTATTTCTGTTTGCAATCACTCAACTCCACTGTTAGCACTCAAAAGCAGCCAGATATGAAACACAGACAATAAAATCCAATAAACTACTTACAAGAACAAGAAGCTGCCAGAATCTGCCAAGCCCTGGGCCAGAGTAAGTCTCACAGGGTAATGATCTGAACTGGAGCGAAGCTAATGGTGACATAGAACACCTGAGGAGCCCAGGTAGTCCCCATTGTAGTATAACTCATACATCCACTCCTCTGACACTTGACCTTATGTATAGAAAGATTTTAAATAGCATGACTACAGAAAGATACTTGTTCTGTTATATCCAATAGCGTTTATTTACTGAAACTAATGCACTATTTGAAGGTGCTGCAAGCATCAGGCATGCAGAGCCATGACTGTGAGAGTGTGTGGTAGTCTGCAGGGCAGTGTGTTCCTGAGCAGAAGCTGGAGGCTGGTTGAAGTTTCAGGATCCACTCTCTGGATCTCAATTTAATTGATCCAGAGAATTAAGCATATGACAAAGTTCATTCAGTTCAGCATAGAAGACCTATTTTGTAAAGCAGGGCACATCACAACAATATAAATATCCCTTAATTATGCCTTGCTGCAGAATTCTTAGCTGGTTGAAAATGTAAAGGGCTTCTAGTCCACAAACATGCATTAAAATAAATTAAAACGTGTATTAAAATGTATCTATATGATCCAGACACTGCCAGCCACATTGTTCTGGAGCTCGCAGTGTAGAGGCAGAAGCCAGGCACATAGGAGTTCCAGGGAAGGTGCCCAACTGCTTACGGGATCAGAAAGAACTTTCTAGAGTTATGCTTTCACCCAGTTTTGAGAGATGAATGGTAATCAAGGGAATAAGGACCAGGAAGGGAAGAAGAAAGGATGTTCCAGGAATGAGCCTGTGCGGTTCAGAGCAATGACATGGCTTACGCAGGGCCCCTTGGAGAGTCCTGGGTAGTGACCAGTCTCCCGGGCAGTGTTTCTTCTGTATCTGTGCATCAGTGCTGTCTCATAAACCCTCTGGGGTCATTGAGGCTCATGTCCTTTGGCTTTCCTCTCCAATGGGTATAAATGGGACCTATTTATACAGGAAACCTGCTGGTAATACAATACAATCCTGGGCCCCGGCACCTCCAAGTCTTAGCACTGAGAGTTATCTGAGGGTGGTAGCTTCTGATCACCTGTTAGAAAATCTGTCCATTCACCAAAATGAATCAAGTCCCACTGCTGAGTTTCTGGTTCTCTGAAGGCCACATATGTGGAGCTCTCTCCCAGGACCCTTCAGTGCAAGGATTACTGGGCTAATCTTGGGGATGTGATTTGATACATTTTGATCCCTGCCCTATTATGTTGATAAGAAGCAAACCATTTGGAAATCCTTGGAAGCAGGGAAAGCTGAAGGATTTTGCAGTGTGCCTGGCTGCTGCAAAGAAGTCAGGGAGCACCATTGTCAGAGGGAAAGGAGAGAATGGTAGATAAGAGTATTTGACTAGAGACTCTCCGATCAGAAAAAGGCCCACATTCTAATAAGGTTAAACATACGTCTACCTCATGACTCAGCAACCTCATTTTCAGATATATATCCTTGATAAATAAGTCCTTAAGTCCAAAAAAATAACTCTTATAAACATGTTCATAACAAATACATTCATATTGGTCACAAAGTGGAAAAATCTCAGTGTCAAAGGAGTATGGATAAACAATTTTAATTTTCCATATAGCAAATGCTATTTGTCAATAAAAGGAAGAGAGCTACTGATTGATATATGCAGCAAATAGAGGAAATCTGAAAAGAAAACACAAAAGAGTATGATTCATTTCTCTAACGTTCTTGAATAAGCAAAAGCTCATCTCCCATGACAGCTGTCAGATCGCTGCTCATCTCTTGGAGGGCTGTGGGCTAGAAGGGAGTTTCAGGAGCCTTGGGAGTGGTGTAAGTGTCCTTCATCCTGATCTAGGTTATAGTTACATGGGTATCATATATTTAACATCATCGAGCTGTTCCTTAAAAACCTATGTGTTTTACTGTATATAACTCATACCTCGGTAAAGCACTTTGGCATTAAATAAAGAAGGAAACACTTTGGTTATGCTAGGAAAAAAGGACTCAGACCTACTGACAAGGCCTTGAGTTAACCAGTTTCTTCTGTCTTCTCCCTTCAAATGCATGCGTGGTGTGCCCAGAATAAGGAAAGGGTGGGGAACCACCAACGCCCAAACGACGCACCCTATCATGGCCAGCTAATGGATATGTCAGGGTCATATGTAGTTCTTAACACAGTGACTGAAGAGAACACAAAGATTGCTGAATTCACTTATTTGAGCATCTGTGGCCCATGGACCAGCAGTGCCCTCCTCACTAACCCTCTGAGGAGGGGACCACTAGTGGGAATTGTCCTTTCCCTGTCTACTCTGAGAACAGGCATCTCATGCTTTTTCCTCTTTATCTTCTTATCTCTTGTTCTCCAGGAGCTTCAGAAATATGAGCAGTTCATCTTTGCAGATCATACCAATATGATCCATGTTGAAAATGTCTATGAAGAGATTTTACATCAGATTCTCCTTGATGAGACTCTGAAAGGTAAAAAGGGTTTACCTGGTGCCAGGGGGACTCCCCTTGAAGGGAGCACCCCTGAAATGGAACTCAGGAAGGCTGTGAAGTAAGAAAGGGAAAGAGGAAGTCACTGTTGTTGTGCAGGGAGACATCTGGGAGAGGGAAGCAAAGAGGGAAGGATGCCAGCCTTGACTGGACATTCATGATTTGGTACACACCATGCTGGTTCTTTAGATGTTATTTCCTCTTTCAGTATCAATGCGGACTCCAAGATGGGAATGTTAAGCTTCCTTTTGCAGATGAGAAAACTACAGTTTAGAGGCAATAAATTTAAGGTGTCTCATGCAGGGCTGTCATCTTGAATTGTGCCAGACAGAACTAAGGAGAAAGGGCTCTTATGCACGGACTCATAATCCCTCCCAGGGCTGGGCAGAAATGTCTTCCGCAGCAGGGCCTGAGCTCTGCTCTCTCAGCAAATTCCTCACCTCCACTTGGCCAGACAGAAAATGACACAGGGGTATAACACAGTGCCCTGTGGGCCTTGTGAGGATAGTAGCACCCAGTGTGCTGTGGAATTTGGCCTTGCCTGGGGTTGGAATGTGAATAGGAAAACAGATAAAAATATGCCGAAGAGGGCACCATCAAGCTGTGGGCCTGAAACCTATCTGGTCTCCATAGGGGAGGTCTTGCCTATCACCCAAAGCCCTCCACAGGGAAAACTGGTCAAGCACAAGCCCCACATCACATAACTAATCACAGGGATCCAAGGAGCTAGGGAAGGCAACGGTCATCATGGTGTCTGCACAAAGAGAGGCCAAGCCCACCATGGAGACCTTAGGGTGAATTCGAAGACTTCTTTCCTCCAGATACCTTACTGTCCTCTGTGAGAAAACTCATACTATATTGATTTTGTTAGACCAGGAAAATCTACTTCCAGCTGCTGAAAAATTATGCTGCATACACAAATCTGTGTTGACTCAGATATGAATGGCATCACCTAGGTTGTGGTATTGTTGAGCACCACATAGCCATAGCCAGATACCCATTGTCAAAATTGTCAACTGTCTTTGGTGTTACTGTCTTTAATGTTCTTAAGGCAGATGTACATATATCTTCATTTTAAACAGCACAGGCTAACAAACCTTTCAGCTGTACCCTCAGGACTGAGAGAGAACCTGTTACACATTCAGGACTGTGCTGTGAGAAAAAATAGTAAAAGCCCTGCCCCTGTCTTAAATGTGTTCCAGTCTAGGTGAACAAACTGAACTTCATTTACTAGCGCTAATTAAATGTCACAGGGCGCCTGAGTGATATGCATGGTACTGTTACAGACTTTAAAAGCAAAGGCCATCTTCTGTTCACCTCTGGCTTCTCAGTGTCAGTCATATATTAGATCAAATGTATGCTGCTTGAGTAAATGAAGGAATGGACCTACCAAGGTTCAGAGTCTGGAAAGAGTTTGCAGTCTTTAGTCATGAGAGAAGGCTACCTAGAAGGGGATGGATATAAGCCAGATCTTGAAGTTGAGAATTTGGATAGCCAGAGAGGTTAAAATCAGAAAATCCAGGTTGTCCAAGCAGTCTTAATATTAAGTTTTGTCTCCTGGTATTTTTCAGTGATAAAGGAGGCTGCTATTCTGAAGAAACACAACTTATTTGAAGACAACATGGCCTTGCCTAGTGAAAGTGTGTCCAGCTTAACAGATCTAAAACCTGCCATTGGATCAAACCAGGCCAGCCCGGCCAGGACAGTTTCTGCCATTCTTCCCGGAGCTCTAGAGAGTGAGACCCTAAGTAACGAAGTGTTCCAGGAGTCAGAGGAAAAGAAGCAGCCAGGGGATCCTAGTTTATTGGCCAAACAAGAAAGCCTTTCTTTCCCTGAGCCTAGCTCTGGCCTAAGTGGGGATGGGCAGGTGACTATCTCAAGCACCGATGACCCTGCTGTGACTCCTGTGGCTGAGGAAGACATGGAAGAAACCCTGGGTATATGCTCAGAATCAGGAAGGGCCACTGAGAATGAAGAATCCACCCATGAAGAGCCAGACTTCACTTCTGCCTCAGAATCCTTGAAGGAGCTCAGAGAGTTGTTGACGGTGACCATTGAAGAGCCAATGGAGTCTGCTGTGGTGATTGAAAAAGACACAAAGGAGACACTTATTCTTCAAGAAAATGAAAAAGAAGAGGAAAAAACCCAAATCAACACAGAGGCCAATCAGGCAGCTGCCCCCCAAGAGGATAGCCATGAAGAAAGTGAAGTCAGTGAAAAAACCCAAATCAACACAGAGGCCAATCAGGCAGCTGCCCCCCAAGAGGATAGCCATGAAGAAAGTGAAGTCAGTGAGAGGAAGGCCCATTCTCCTCCTCCAGAGGCTGAGGGCCCCAGGGTAGGCTTGGGGACATTTCCTGAGGTGAGCAGCCCTGGTCCTCAGCTGGCCTGTGGTGGGCTCACTGGAGATCTCACCGAGGATGCCAGCTTCCCAGACCTCACAGCAGAGCCAACAGAGGCCACAGAACCCCATGAGAAGGAGCTTGCAGTGCGGGCTGCCACACCAGATGCCCATGAAGGAGAAAAGGCCGCTGGGAGTGCCGTTGAGGGCCAGGCCATATGGCAAGAAGGTGGCACTTTCCATTCCGACTCCATCTGCCCCGGGGAGAGCCAAGTTCCTGAGGAACAAGAAGTGATGGGAGGGAAGAGTGTCGTGGCCCCAGCTATGACCAGCGTGGATACAGAGGCAGTGACGCCTGAGTGTCGGTGGGTGGTTGAGAATGCTCCAAACACAGGTGCCCTAGATTCACCTAAAGATGATGTGAAGGAGGGAGAAATTTGCCAGGAGAGCTCCCCAGAGCAGCCCTCGGAGGAATGAGAGGCATAATTCGGCAAGCCTTTCTTTGAACAAAGTCAAAGGGTTATGGTTAGGGTATACATGGAAATTGCATGTGAGTTATCTGAAAAATCATGAAATATTTCTTTCAGCTGAATAATAAAGCCAAAGGAAATGCATGCAGGCTATGAGCACAGAGGCCAACCTTTGTGGCATTGAACTGCTCCACCATGACTTTCTGCTTTAGCATTTTCACAGAGATCACAGAGGCCCTGGAGTGTTAGGGTGAGAGGAGGCTGGAGGGGCCAAGAGAGGCAGCAGTATTGCCGTCGAGGCTGAAAGCAGCAGGAGCACAGTTCTCAATACGCTGCACATTGCGGTGGTGCAACTCTCAAGTGCACTTTAAGGCTTTTTAACTTTTAGTAAGAATGCAAAAGTATACTGTCCTTTCAGCCTCACTATTTACTCTTATCGACTCACCGGCTCCTTTAAGGGCTCAGCATTTGTTCCCTCTGGGCTGCAAGAAGGTCCCCAGTCACCCCTGCCGTGTGCAGCGTTCATGCCCTGCGGTAGGTCTCCGGAGAAGCTGAGTAGAAACCACGGAAGAAAGATGATGGCCTATGGGGCTGTATGGGCCTGTCACTGATCCTACTATCAATTTCATATTAACTGATGGTGGTGATTTTTATCAATTAATCACCTTTTAAGGAAATTCAGATGAGCCAAGGAAATTGTATGAGCAAGCATAAGTCTGAAAGCATTCCAAATTAGCCTTAGACTGTGCAAAGAGCACAGGTAAATGATCAAGCTTAAAGCCTACCAATTAAACAAACATTGTTTGAACAGCTACTGCATGCCACGCACTGTGTTAGGCATAGTAATGAAGAAAAAAGATAAGGTGATTTGACTCGTGCAAATTAAAAGGCCCATGAAAAAAAGAAGAGGCCCATGAGAATGTAGTCTAGTAGAAGAAATCATGACAATTTTCAAACTGATAGCTTTTTCTTTTTTCCATTCAAACAGTCTTGGTTTATCTTCAAATGCGGAATGAATGACTGAATAAATACAAAAGCCAAGGCATAGATCACCAAGTTCCAAATATCGCCAAAATTAGAAATCATTCGTTTGGTCGTTCAGCAAATTAATTGAAACCCTGTTAGGTACCAACCACTAGTGATACCCAGTATGAGAAGGTCATTATTCTTTTCTTTCTGAAAAGAATAGAAAGAAATGTATCTTCTAAATGGATAGTAAACTGTAACTCTTAATGTTAAAAGTGGAATGGACTTACTTGGACAAATCTACAAAAATGATTTTTCTATTGTTCTTTAAAAAAAATACCAGAGGGCTGGGGCTTTAGCTCAGTGGTTCCACCGCCTGCCTCCCAAGAACAAGGTCCTGAGTTTGATCCCTGGTACCAAAAAAAAAAAAAAGAAAAGAAAAATACCAGAGTATTCCCTAAGAGTTTCCGTTTCAGGTACTATATCTTGAAGTTTCCTTCCACAAATTTTAGTATTACATTTTATAATACTGTGTAAGAGCTTGTTTTTTTTTTTTTGGTACCGGGGATTGAACTTGGATCCTTGTGCTTTTTAGGCAGGTGGCGGAACCACTGAGCTAAATCCCTGGCCCTAGAGCTTGTTTTGATTATCACCATCAAGTAAATTTAATACATCAAGTACATCAGTTCTTCAGAGAATTTGTTCCACAATTCAGCCATTTAACCAGGAAATAAAATATTTCCTTCCATGATCTTCTCATGAAGAATTTCTTGGATATCTAAGTCATAAAGGATTAATAATAGGATCAGCATAGTTTCATATTGAAGTACCTTAACTTTTCTTAGTATTTAGACCCTGAGGTGTATGAGGGATCCCATCATGATCAAGGAAGGTAGAGATCATTTCTCCCTTGGTCCCTGCTTAGCCAGTACTCACTCATATCCTGGCATTTACCACAGTGTATTGAAATTATGTTTATTTCCTGACTCACCTAGAAGCTCCTCTCCTCAAGGACTGAAATTCAGGCTTAGTCATAATTTGTGCTTCCTGCTGAAACTCCACATCATGAATCATGGCTTCCTGCATGTCAAGTAACTTTAATATCCCCAGTGTGTAACACTGGAACTGGCGCAGGGGCTGCTCAGGAAATGCAGGAACTGAACGCCCAGCACTCTGCTGTGCAAGGGCTAGCTACCTGGAGCTTGCTGTTAGGAAGGGAGAAGTTTTCACTTAGGCTTTCTGCCCTGTTGAATCGTCCCTTAAATAAAGTCCAGAGTCCAAAAGGCAGATGGCCAGATGGCCAGAAGCACTGCCCAGGAAAGCCCAGAGCCAAAGAAGCAGTCTCCAGCCCCACAAGGCCTGCCCTTCTCTCTGGGAGACTTATGGCTGTGTGGAGCCCCAGCTCAGCCTCCCCGCTTTGCTCACCTCAAGACTTCTTGCATCTCTTGGAAAGCTAGGAGCCCTCTCAATCCTAAGAGAGTTCATTTCACTGCATTAGATGAATGAACATTAGTACCTTTCCTTTATCCATCCTGAAACTAGGCACTAAGTAGCAGAACATATTGGAAAACACAGTCAAAGACTTTTGCTAGATATATTTCACAAAGTCAAGTTCTTTCACAGGAGCAGGACTATTGTTACCTTTGAAAATGGAATAGGATGGGCCAGGGATTTAGCTCAGTGGTTCTGCCGCCTGCCTTGCAAGCGTAAGGACCCGAGTTCGATCCCTGTGAACCAAAAACAAAGAAAAGAAAAGAAAAGAAAATGGAATAGGAAACTGAGGTGCATTGAAATATTCTATATCTGTGTTACTATGCTGAAGGGTAACTTCATGTTATCATGCCTTTTCCCTACTTCTCATACAGATTTGTGTGTGTTGCTTTAGTGGTTTCCAGGTGGGAGCAAGGCCGTTATGATTTGAATGAGCAGCATGAAAAGTCGCAGTGCTGTGCTCTGGGGATCTCTGCTATGGGCAAAGCCTGCAGACATGCATAAAAGCTCAAGATGTGCTTCTTAGAAAAAACCCCATGACTTGAAACCAGCTATGGTATTACTGACCTTTCACAAAGAAAGAATATTTTCCTTGAAAAAACTGGTTTTTCAGTTTTTTCTATTTCACTTGGAGCAGACAGTAGTACCTTGCCTTATACACAGTAAACTCTCTCTTTTTTACAAAAGTATTTTGGAGATTGAGGATAAGGTTCCATTTTATCCAAAAGCTTTGTAAAGAGGCTGTATGTGGGGCTGGGGATGTAGCTCAGTGGCACTGCACCTGGGCAAGGTCCTGATTTCAATCCCTGGTAACAACAACAACAAAAAAGGCTGTATGTGAAGAACCGAAGATCTTTCGGTATGATACTCTACATTTTATTAAAGCATTCACAAGTCTGGTTTTGTAATTCTCCAGATGAGAACCAGTGATTTCAGAGGGTTTTTACCATTCCTTCAGGAAAAAAAAAAGTGATTTTAATTCACTAGCAAAAGTGCTCAATGGGCAGTGGTTCTGGCTCAGTATTAGAATACTTACCTGGCATGTGTAAATCCTTTAGTTCAGACAGGCACCACAAAAAAAGCGTTAAGTGATATGTAGTACATAACAATTTTAATATGGGGAAGAGAAGGACATCCCTGACTCAAAAAATAATAGTTACACTAAGTAAAAATAGTTGGCAACATATGCCTTTCTACTCTACCATAAACAGATGGGTTTGGGGGTTTGCTTTCTGAAGTCTGCAACTTTAAGATTAAGAAAAAATCTGCATTGTTTTCACAATGGTTTTATTTTTATGGTCACTATATAAAACAAATAAACTTAGAACACTTCGTAACCATGTATTTACTCTGCCAAGTGCCTATAATCCAATAAAATGCTCATCCTTGAGGAGCTGTCCAGATGTCATTTACTTGGAATGGGACTGGTTTTTTTTAAGCAAATGTCATACTCAAGCTGGAAGGAACAGTACTCAGAAATGAAAAGGTGAGTTGCTCTTGCTGTATTAGGGAACTTTTCGTTTTCTGTTGTCAGGAAGGAACTTGGAGGGAAGCCACTTACTGTCAGGTGAAATTATGCTTTTATAATGCATATGAGTCTTTTCTCTAGAAATTGGATCACATCCATAACACAGCAGTGGGCAGTTAGTCTTGATGTAATTGAATGGCTGTTCAAACTTAAATGCATTTTCAGTGTGTGACATTGAGTAAGACATTCATTCTGTAATTATAAGCAATATAGTATTTACTCCCCAATATTCACAGTTGCTCATTTACCCATGAATTCATTCATCCAAAAAATAATGAGTGTCTCTATTATATATAGGCAATGTTGTGGGTGGTGCAGAAATAGAAGTAAACACAAGAGACGTCATCCCCAATATCGGCAAACTCAAATTCTCAGGTTGTACATGGCTGGGGAGAAACTAAAAGGGCTGTTTCCTCACCGGACATAAACCTTGCATATAATCTCAGCTTTAATCCTTCACCAAGTTTTAGGCAGGAGAGACAGACACAGTAGAGCAATCAAGTCCAGCAATGATGGAGAAACTCAGTGTAGCACACACTATCATTCTCTCTCCTCCTTCTGTACCGAACTTTGCGTGCAAAAATCATTGCCAGGACGACCCCTCCAGATGTTCTACTTAAGGTCTGTAAGCAAATTGGAATTGGGGTTGAGGGAGCTCATTTTAAACTCTGCAGAGTTTTTTCTTAGATCATATTTTTATTGGATGTAGCTTAGACAGGGCCGGCGGAGTCCTGGAGGGTGGTCAACAGAAGCTGTTTTTTCCTCAGCCACATCCCCACTTGCCTCTGCTTGGCTGTCGCTAAATCTTTGCCATGTTGTTCACTTTACCAAAAACATCCAAAGCTCCATTCTCCAGCTGGCCAGTTCCCACTCTTTCCTGAATGAGTCAGGACAAGTCAAGATGTACCTCCCTCCATGCCCTCACATTCAGTAACATTTTCTCAATTCTTACCCTCATTTACTTGGTTGCTTCTGGTTATCTCTCATTCTACTGAGCCATCTATCTTCCCCGTGCCTTTGGGGCAGGGACCCTGCCTGCAATTTTTTGTAACTAACAGAACAAAGGTCCTTCCATATTAGTAAATGCTCAACACATTTACAAGGAGTGAATAATTAAAGGTGCGGGAGAGGTGGAAAGAGCTGATGGTCACTTGGTAACCATATACGCCTGTGAAGCCGGTAACTTTACTCATCCTCAGCCTAAGATAGTTCTCTTCTAATGAGTAAACTTGACCATGTGTTTGTACACGGCCACACTTCTGGGAGAGAGCGTCAAAGGCAAGTGCCCCCCAAAATCAAACTACTATGGATCACCTCTTGGTTTTCAGGGAAGTAGATCCCACTGGCTTTTCCTAAGGCCTCTGCAATGTAAAATATGGAAAAAAAGATGAAGACATTCATCCTTGCATTGTATCTTCTGCAAAACATGGGCCAGTTTTCATGACAAGCACCTGCCTTTTGGCCAGTTCTCAGATGGAGTCCCTGCTTTGTAGGGAACTCAATCTAGTTGGAAATACCTAGAGAAAACGGTGATTTTGAAGGAGAGAAGGAAGGGTCCTGGCAGCACAAATGAAAAGCAACTATGTTTTCTATTCAAGTATTATAATTTCAAGTTTGATTGTTGAACCGATTGAGCCTGCCTTTATTCTTGCCTGTTTAATTTTTTATCTGTCGTGACTAAAATCCAAAATCCAGATGCTATAGAAACCATAAAGAAATTTTTACACAGACTTCTTCACCCAACCTATCCACACCCTTTCTAGGACTCTTGAGTCCTCTGTGGATGCCGATCCAGACCTGCGGATTCTGTTGTGTTTCCCCCTCTGGTCTCCAACAAAACAGTATACATGTTCGGTAGGAAGGTCTCTCTGGGTTAGCGATAGCAAGAGGGTGAGAGGCAAGACAACCGGGGTTGAAGAATTCCTACAAGACATGGAGGACACTTGAGACTAAGGGCTGGCTTCTCCTGCTAAGACTTCAACTCTTCCTATTCTGTGGTGCTGTCTTAACCATGTAGGAAAGTTCTGTGATTTTAGAGGGATCATGTGAGAAAAAAGGAAGATGCTTTTATTTCATTGGAGGCTTCAGGTTTTGTTTTGTTTTGTTTTGTTTTTTTGGTACTGGCGTCAACCCAGGGCCTCATGCATGCTAAACAAGCATCCTACCACCACTACATCTCAAGCCCACTTAAAATCCTATTTTGAGACAGCATCTCACTAAATTGCCCAGGCTAGCCTAGAGCTTGCAGTCCTTTTGGCCTTAGCCTCCTGAATACCTGCGATTACAGGTGTGTGCCACCACATCTGGCTACATTTTGAATCCTTCCATTTTTCTATTTGAGTGTTATAATAGATGTTTTCAATGTAGCATTATTCAGTCAATATTCATTTATTGATACTTTCAAAAAACTTATTGAAGCCTGGTGTGGTACACGCCTGTAATCCCAGCACTTGGGAGGCTGAGGCAGGAGGATTGCCATGAGTTCAAGGTCAGCCTGAACTACATAGTGAGACTCTGTCTCAAAAAACTAAAAAAAAAAGGGCTGGAGATTTAGCTCAGTGGCACTGCACCTGTCACAAGCCCAAGGTCCTGAGTTTGATCCCCAGTACCGAAAAACAAAAAACAAAACAAAACAAAAACCTTGTTGATATCTACTAATGTGTTACAGATTCTGCTAGGCCCTGGAAATAAAGTGGCAAAAAAAAAAAAAAAAATTCAATCCTTGCCCTTTTTCCATTCAGACTTGTGGGTTATCTTTTTTGTACTAAAAATTTCAATTGTTTAACATTAGGGGGATACTCTTTTTTTTGGTACCAGGGATCGAACTCAGGACCTGGCGCTTGCAAGGCAGGCATGGTGCCACTGAGCTAAATCCCCAGCCCAGGGGGATACTCTTAATATAAATGAACCTCTCCTTTTTTCAAATTGCATTTTGAAATTCTTTATTAAGTTTGCTCATAAACTTGGTTTACTTTCTTGAGATCTTTTATGAGAAAGTTGCATTGATTCAAATTGCTTAACATTTGTAATTCATTTGTTTTACAATGGGAATAAAATACATCACAAGATTATCGTGGGGATTGAAGATGTTATACATTATCTTTAAGCACAGATGAGTAAAATGAGGCTCAGAAGGGCTGGGGATTCAGCTCAGTGGCTCTGTGCCTGCCTCACAAGCGCAAGGTTCTGAGTTTGATCCCTGGTACTGAAAAAAAAGAGTGAGACTCAGAAGTTAAGCAACTTCCTGAAGGTTACATAGCTAGTAACACGGATGTGTCATTTAGTAATTGCTATAAAACAAACCACTCCAAAATTCAGTAGCTTAAAATGGTGAGCATGTATTAAAACCACAGCAGGTGGATGGTTCTCTGGCCTCGGCAGGCTCTCAAAATGTTTGGGAGTTGGCTGATTCTATGGGGGTCTAGTCTACCCACAGCTGAAACAGCTAGGCTCTACTCCACATGATCTCCCAGATTTCAGCAGATGAGTCTTGGTTTATTCTTTGTTTGTTTGATTTTTGGTACTGGGGATTGAACTTGGGTCCTTGTGCCTTTGAGGCAGGCGGCAGAACCACTGAGCTAAATCCCCGGCCCTAGGTTTATTCTTTTGGTAGAAGCAAGGTTGAGAGGAGAGAGGGAGAGAAGCAAAAGGCTTTTTGAGTCCTAGGCTCAGAAGTGGTACACCATCACTTCCTCCTTACTCTGTTGGCCAAAGTAAGCTACAAGGCTGACAAAATTTCAAGGGAAGAGCTGCAAAGTCACACTGGACTGGCATGAGTCCAGGGGAGCCGTTAACTGGGGCCATTGATCCATTGTCTACTGCACTAGGACTCAAATGATGGCTGTTTGAATCTGAAACACATACTCTTGGCTCCAGATTGCACTAACTGTAAGTACTAATACAGCCAATCTTTGTCACTCCACACACTTTCCCAGAGCCTATTGGCTGTTCTAATTAGATTTGTTACTGGGTAAACAAAACATGGTCATTTCTAACTCTAAGCAATTGATCTATCAAAGAACCTTGACTTTTTCATTGGTTTTGGTAATGAATGTTCTATTAAGAGTATCTTTTTTATATTTAAAAATCTTTATTAGTACGTTTGCAGTACATAATAATTTTACATAATTTTTAAATATAAGGTACATTACACATCTTTTTTTTTTTTTGGTACTGGGTATTGAACTCAGGACCTTGCACTTACAAGGCAGGTGGTGGAACCACTGAACTAAATCCCCGGCCCTGCATAACACATCTTAATTTTTTACTTCCCCTTCCCTCCTTCCACCTTCCCTCCATCTCTTGGAAAAGATGTATCCCTTTACTGGAGGCTGATCCATCTTCCGATCTGCCTAGAAGGGGAACTGTGAGATCTAAAGAAAGAAAGACAATAGAGACCTGCATAATTTCACAATAAATGGGGGGCAGGGAGGTCAGTGCCTCAGAGCGGGCAAAAGACAAAGACACTCCTGAGCTAGCCATTATTTATTGGGTACACACAATAATTGGAGAGAGGATCAGGTGATTTAGGACTTAGAGGGCAGGATAATCTTACGTTGATGATGGTGATTAGGAGAGAATTTGTTTTTTTGGTACTGGGGATCGAACTCGGGACCTTGGGCTTTTGAGGCAGGTGACAGAACCACTGAGCTGAATCCCCAGCCCTAGCTGATGTAATCTTGCCCTTGAGCATCACAGTATCATGGGGCCATTGAGGCCTCAACTTGTGACCAGAGGTACACAGAGTTATGTTTCCACACTCCATAGCCGGCTAACAGGTGAAGTGACATTGGGCCTTAGCCAGCTATAGTCATAATTTAATTATGAAATGATTTTTCCCCCCTGAAGTATGTAGAATGGCTC